CTAGTTAGACGTCTAAGTATAATCGAGGCTAACAATTTAGAAACTATATTAGTTAAACTTATTCCCCTGTGATTGTCACAAGAGGACTTCTGTCCTTTCTTGTAGATTGGGACAATTAGCGACTGAGACCAGTCAGATGGGATTACGTCCATTTCCCAGATTCTACCTAGGATCTCGGTCAGTCTAACCGTTAAAACTGGGCCACCATCCTTAAACATCTCAGGGGTAAGCCTATCAGGACCTGCCGCTCTACATCCCCTTAGATTTCCTATAGCTTTCTCAACTTCATGTAAACTGGGAGGACTTGAATCGATTTGCCATTCAGGATGACTGGTGATCGTGGGCAACCGAAGTGTGGCTGAAGGCCAGTTGAACTGATCCCTAAAGTGTTCTGCCCATCGGTCCAGCCTCCTAGATTGAGAATGGATAATAAGACCATCCTTTTCCGAGATAGTCTCACTCACATTCGGCTTCCTAATACCGGTTTCTTTAATAAGGCGGAAAAGTTGTCTAGTGTTGCCGATCGCCGCTGCCTTTTCCATCGCTTTTGCTTTCGCCACCCACCACTGTTCACGGTCGTTACGTAGGCTTTTTATAAGTCTGCGCCTAAGCTGACTACGCTCTTCATCATGTTCAGAGTCAGGTGGGATGCGTTTTCGAGCATCCATCAGTTCCGTGGATGCGACTGAAATCCACTGTTTCATCCTAGCCTTGTGGTTTACCTTGCTAGCAGATGTCATTGCTGTTTCCACAGCCTTCTTGATATGATTCCAACCTGCTTCAGGATGGGAATCACTCTCATGGCCGCCTAACTGTTTTTCTAGTTCCTCCTGAAATATTTTCTTAGCTTGATTATCATCAAGTAAAGCGCTAGGAGGCTTCCTTACGGTGTCTTTCCTACGTCCAGCAAGCCTCAAACAAATACGTGCTCGCACTAGGGCATGATCTGAATCTAAACATGTACCCCAGAACGAGCGACAGTCCTCTATCGAACCCCTCCATCGGTGGCTGATGGCGATATGATCTAGTTGTGTCCAACGTTGAGACGACTTTGGAGGTCGCCAGGTCAAAAGGTGTTTTTCCTTATGCTTAAAATTAGTGTTTGCTAGAAATAGTTGGTTATCTGAGCACAGTTGCAACAGACGGTCGCCATTGTCTGTTCTTTGAGCCGCGAGACCGTAACATCCACCTAGGTGTCTTTCATTTTCACTCAGTCTACCTACTTGTGCATTGAAGTCACCAGCCATTATAACTATATCAGAGCGCTTAACTTTTTGGAGGAGGTCCGAAAGCTTTCTGTAAAACTCATCTTTTACATCATCTGGGCTGCAGTCAGTGGGGGCGTAGGCTGATATGACGAAGAGGCAACGGCGAGTGTCCCTATCTTTCCGAGTCCTTACTGTCCCGTCCAGTCGGACGGCGCACAAGCGACTATCTACAGGGATCCAGTCAAGGAGAGATTGTTCTGCCCTACGACTCAATGCTATACCTACACCGGCGAGGCCCCTAGAAGCAGCATCAGGGCTACCAGATACACGAAGGGTAAATCGAGCTGCTTCTTTATCTTGACATGGTGAGGTCAAATGAGTGATGCTACTCGGATCCTGTATGCGCGTTTCCGAGACGCAGCACACATCGATGGAACGAGATTCTAAAGTCCTAGCTAATGACGCCTGTTGCCCTATTTGACACAATGTCCGTACATTGAATGCTCCAACATGTAGTTTGGAACGGGGTTTAAGGAGACCAGGAACGACGTTTCGCAAACTCGCATCGTTTGCATTAGCTGTGCACTGTAATAAATGAATGTGAGAAGAGTTAGTTGTGGAGATAAGAGAGGTATTAGGGAATTTAGGAAGGATTTGATTTTGAACAATTTGGTCTCGTGTGCTGTTACGGGTATGAGGGCGGTTATCACTTCCCGGCTGCCCACACCGTGGAAGGTTGTTTCTTGACGAACCTGAAAAGGAAGATGGATTAGTGTTGGTGCGTGACCGCAGAGCCCAAGGGACAACTGCTTGAGGCCGGTCACGCACGGCCTTTTTATGAAACGTTGTTTGAGGATTAGCTACGTTCTTAAAGGCCCTTAGTGGGCACCCTTACCCGAGGAGACGGAAATCCGTGAGGTAGGGGAGGTGTGACATTTTTAGGGCCGACCTTTTCTAACCCTTCCTTCCTTGTGAGAAGGCAGCATCGCTGCAGATGCTGGTTGTCCGAGGGAAACACCTTACTGCTGTCACACCCCTCCATCACAGTCAGCAGTACGACTTCGCCCTCAGACCTTGGGTAGCTGCTTTTAGTCTCATCGTTCTCCAATCGACCTGCCTGGCATGGTAGGACCTGCAGGAACATGTGTTCCAGCCAGTATAGCTCGGTTGGGTCATCACGATAGGCAAGCCCGACCACCACGTCAAGGTAGCAGCTACGGTCGGGCCAAAGAATCTGGACCCAAAGGAATACATGTCCGACCTCAATCAATTGGCGATACGCTAAGTTGGAATCTATCGAGAATAGTCTCTTGATGTTAGTCCCTAATATGACGTAACAGCTGTTCATTGATGCCTATTTTTTGCTAATCGTCTAATTGAATTGAGATTACGATATGAAGTATGGGGTTCAACGAGTAGCACATCAATCTCTAGTATAGGCCTTTTTAGTAGTCCATGTAGATGAGTTCAGTGTTACTGAAATTTCAAAAGTATCCTAATAATTGCACGTTATTTACTGTATGATATACTTGTATACAGTATTCCATAATGAAAATAATTTGTAGAACGCATAAATTGCAGACTCTAAGTTTTCCTACATTGAAAACATTTAGATTTCAATTTAAAACATTCAATTAAATAACTACGATAATGAATATTTTTGATTTGAAATAATTTATTGTCAGTATTGAGGTTTATTACTGTAAGGGTTTCATTTCTAATATAAGTGGTTGTAAATATGAATGTTAAAAGGAGAGTACTTTCTGATACTTATGATCGAAAAACATTCAATATTCTGTTTTATGGGTATTTGGTCAGTCTGGTTTTGTGTAATAACTAACAAACAGATGAATAACACTGTACTGACTCGGAAATAGAATAAAAATCCTAGAGAATTTTTATAAGAAAAATAAATATATGAAACAAAGAATTCACAAGAAATATGATTACGTTTTTCCTTATGTTCTATTTGATAACAAGTGTAACTGATTGTAACATCTGATAATTGAATAATTCACAGGGTTGTTTCTAGCAGAGAATCAGACTGATGCATGAATGATAAGGATTATATGTACGCTTAATAGTACCGATATAAATTTCAAAATCTAGATATTTTGTCATACAAAAAATATTCTTACTATGTAATATCACTTAACCATTTTAAATAGACAAAGTAATAAGATTTGATTAAGCATGATTACTTACTGGCTGTCATAATCATTCAAAAATAATAAGTTAAAAGTTTCTAAAATAAATCCATGAAAAATTTACATCGTATAGCATACTATTTTATAGTATAGAAGAGAAATAGAAGAGACTTTATTAGAAAAAAAAGCCATAAGAAATTATAAGTAGAACTATGGAACAATGTTTTGATTTGTAAGGTATAATTTAGTCACAAAACAACAGCGGCAATACATAATTAATTATAGATTTGTAATGTTTACGTAAGAATCGCAAATAGTTTTTAACATGTTAAATTATTTTAAATTCTTTGTAGTTAGTTTAGCTTCTTTGTAAAGAAAACACTAGATTTATTAAATACATATTCACAGTAATGAAACAAGGAAGTAGAAATCATGTTACCTCGGTAGCCTATCTTTTACTTGTAACCAGTGTATTCATTCATATGCATAAAGAATAACCTCTGAGCTATGATCTCCAGAATGGATTGGTTTACAAGAAAATCAATAACACACCTGATGAATATTTTTGCTTACCGATATAGACGTTTTCAGCTGACAAGGCTAATCGAGTGCAGTGCTTATTGTGATATGTCGAGCCCATATAGCTTGTCCCAGCCTTTGGACAAATTAATCAATTCGTTCTCCTCGGTTTATACAAAGAAAGGTATCTCGATCTTGTGTCAATTAATCACTTACACTCTTAGTTGTTTTGTTATCTGGGGTGGATTTATTACATACATTCGCGTAAGCAGACCAAACAATAAAGAGAATTGTAAAGACGAAGAGAAGATGACTGAGTCAAATAACTGAGACCAAGGATGACTGAGTCAGAAAAAAGTGGACTAAATATGTGACAAGCAAAGAAGTAAGCTAGGCACGAATGCGCCTGATTAAAAACGACTAAGATTATAAGCGAATAAATAACAAGGTCGAAAGATGTGTGAATAACATGAGTAAATGGAGTAATTAATTTTGTTCAAAGCCTTGAGACAAGCCATGTGAGATCGACATATTAAGTCAAACTACACAAGCAATTTATACTATATGGTTAAAAGTAGGCAGTAGGAAACAGTTGATCTAGATGCCGTACCGGTTATTACTCACCAGAAACGTTGATTGATAGCCTTATGAAAACTGACGCTTTTTGCATCATCCACGTCCACAGCCATAGATGTTATGACTGACATTTCAGGAAATCAAGTGAACTTTTTAGGACTGAGATATTAATAATTACAGAATAATGATAGATACACCAATGTGACGTTTGTTTAGTCCTCAGTGCTGATTAACATAACGCTATTGATTGTTAGGTGTATACTGTGATAGAATTAAAATTTGCAGTGAAGCTGAGTTTTTGTGATTTGATATAAAATTTCTAAGGCTTGGGATATGCCAGCAAATCAATTAGTGCATTCAAATGTATCTGTATCTCGCGATTAGGCTTTTATTTCTTCGAGTTTACTATGAACTCTATGCTTTTTTAAAAAGTTATCATTTTCTTCACTTTATAAGCAAATTACAAATTGTTTTAATTCATAGATAAAAAAAATACTAAATAAATAAAAGTTAAACATAAGTTGTCAACAAATAACACAATATAACATACATAGTTATCAGAGGAGTTAGATAATCTATTGAAGCGATTAGGATGCCCAATTGTGCAATTCCATAACACAGTAGTTGTGCACGCAATGGTTCACCACGTTTTGTAATTACTTTGAATACATCCAAGAATGGCATAACATTGTCTTGAGCAATAGCCTGTAGAAGTCTTGGTGCTCCTAGACGAGGTGTATATCAGAAAAGCATATGAAAAGTAAAAAGAAAATTATTGCTGGAACCTGTTGTAAACGAAAAAAAAAAGTCAACCAACTAATCAGTTATACTATTGAAATAATGTATTAAATACCGAATTGAATCTGTTGTGACAAACCAAATAATAAATATATTTATGTTGAATTTTGTAATATTTATCAAAAGCGTTGAATTCACTATACTATCGTTTCAACAGGTTATATGTTACGAAATAAGTATTCTGTGAAAATTCGTAGAGAATAATTGATCTGAGGAAAATCATCAATACAGCCAAATAAACTTATTTACATGGTAGACATTCGATGAAGTCCAATAGGCTTTTATTCTTATGATATATGTATAATCGGCAATGTAGTTCTCACATTAACTACCAATAAAATATGGGAATTCTACACTATTCCTTCGAATCAATTTGTTTCACGAATAAATAATTTTCCGCTCTCTGTTTTCCCTGATTTTAATATTATTACGTGTGATATTTTTCAATGTTATCATCCTTTAATTGATGTTCAAATGTCAATATCGATTGTACGCATCACTTTAAAAAGTTTAACATTACAAAAAGGTTACCGTAAGCATCTTTACATTGTAAACATGTCATGATTTTACTAAGTACCACTGAACATTTGGTCAACTCCTCTTCTGTATACAATAAATCACTGACAATTAAACATATGTGAAGTTTTTTTAAAAAAAATAATATTTCGATAAGAAATATTAGCAAACAAGGTTGAAAATATATTAGATAAAAAAATATTGAAAATTGACAAAATACTTGTATGAAACTTTATTCAACAAAAAGATACCGAAATAAAGGAAAAACTAAACAAACACAAAACTTTAATGACATAATAACAAGATGACATGTTTATCACATATAAACACTTTTTTAAGAATAAGATTAGCTAATAATCACTGTTAATTGTAAATAGAGAAATGAAATTGGATTTATACCGATCTTTAAGCGAATGAAACCATATAAAATGATCCTATTAGAAATTATTTACTATTCAATAGAAAAAATGCACAATTCCATTTATGTGATTGATAATGAATTTACCTGGATTCAATGAGGAATTTCATCGAAAGAAATAATTCTGACAGCAAAATTAAAATAATACATTCATTTAAGATGTGGTGACAATTATGCATTTAACTGACTTCAAAAAAACATTCAGCAGTATTTCGATATTATATTGGATTTCATGAAATTATAATCGAAGTAATTTGTATAAAAAACTATAAGGAATAAACTCCACCTGGAGCCCCTCTGTGACTACTGCCGGTCCTAAACCCGGAAAAAGGAGGACGGTTAGCCGTATGGTTAACTCAAAGAAAACTAACTCTCTAGAAAACACTAATCAGAAAAAATAATTCAAACTATTTTGACTCTGCCCTGGGAGTTTGAAGGTTTAATTTGGAAGAGTGGTGATATCTAATGATGAAAGCCGAGTTTATTAGGTTACACTACTCAAAATCAAATCGACCATATCTGTATAAGTAAAAATTTCAGAAGGTCCATGGAGGATGGGCAGACAACATAACAGACGTTTAATAAGGCCTTTCTTCAGGATACGGTAAAACTCAACGAATTCAAGATAGCACTTAGCAATAGGTTCCAGGCTTTTCATGATCTACTCAGTGGAGAGGAAACTACCATGGGGAACAATTAGAAAGGGGTCTAAGAGGCAATCACTTCAATATATCAGGAGGCTCTGGGCCACAAGAAGTACCATCACAAGGAATGGATCTCTGTTGGTATTTTTGAAAAAAACTGAAGAAAGGAGGAACAAGAGGGTAGCAATCAATGTCAACCGAGCAAGAGCAAAGAAAGTTAAGGCACAAGCTGAATACACAGAAGCAAACAGGAAAGTGAAGGAGAGCATCAGAGCCGACAGATGAAAATATGTGGAAGATCTAGCAATGACGGCGAAAAAGGCTGCAAGAGAAGGAAACCTGGGCTAATTGTATGATACAACAAAGAAGCTCCCTGGAAATCATGGTAAACCAAAACGATCAGTGAAAAGCGAGAAAGGCGAAGTAATCAACAACACTGAAGAATATCACTCTTCTCCGAATAACAACAAAAGTCATCAACAGTGTGTTAGTAAACAGGACTCCGTAGATGCCCAACTTCGAGATCAACAGGCAGGATTTAGTAAGGACCGATTGTGTACCGACCAAATTGCAACATTACGGATCATTGTGGAACAATCAATTGAATGGAACTCACCACTCTACACCAACGTCATTGGTAGTGTTGATAGGACAACACTATGGAGCCTTCTTCAATATTCTGGTGTACATGAGAAGATAGCCAACAACATACAGAATTCTTATGATGGATTCAACGGCAAAATCGTGCATGGTGTACAGCTGACAGACTCGTTCGAGGTGAAGACCGGTGTCAAGCAAGGTTGCTTACTCTCACCCTTCCTCTTACTCCTGGTGATCGACTAGATTATGAAGACGTCAACATCTGGAGTGAAGCACAGTGTACAGTGGACAGTCATGATGCACCTGAACGGTCTAGACTTCACACTTAATCTGTCGCGCAGGCAACAACAAATGCATGAGAAGACGACCAGTGTAGCGGCAGCTTCGACAGCATCAGGTCTCAACATACACAAGGAAACAGCAACATTCTCCGATACAACACAACATGCAACAACCAAATCACACTTGATGGAGAAGCTTTGGACGATATAAAAACCTATAAATATCTGTGCAGCATCATCGACGAGATAGGTGGATCCGATGCAGATGTAAAGGCGCGTACTGGCAAAGCAAGGGCTGCATTTCTACAAATGAACAACATCTGGAACTCCATATAACCATCAACCTACACCAAAGTCAGAATTTCCAATACAAGTGTCAAGAGAGTTTTACTGAATTGGGCGAAAACTTGGAAAACTACGAAAGTCATCATCCAGAAGATAGAAGCATTTATTAACAGTTGTCTAAGCAAAATACTGCGGATCCGTCTACCAGACACCACCCGCAACAACCTATTTGTGAGAGACAACGAACCAGATTTCAGCAGAGGAAGAAATCGAGAAGAACCGCTGGGAGCGGATAGGACACACATTGTGAAAAGCATCCAACTGAGTCACAAGACAAGCCGTCACCTGGAGCCCTCAAGGAAAAACGGAAAGTCGAAGGCCAAGGAACACATTATGCCGAGAAAAGGAGTAAGACATGAGATGAATCAACGAAAACTGGACAGAACTGGAAAGGGAGGCCAGGGACAGAGTAGGTTGGAGAATACTGGTTGGCTGCCTATACTCCATTGGTAGTAACAGGTGTAAGTAAATAAGCACTGGGAATAGGTATGTGGTTGGTTATTAGGTTCTATTTTTAGGAATATATATTCTATTCTAAAAATACTAAACTAATATATATATATATATATATATATATATATATATATCAGAGTAGGTCTATTTACATACTAGAATCAACAGCAACTAAAGCATAAAATCATATCAATGAAAATGAATATAAACTGACAACAACAAGAAATAAGTTTATCTAATATGGTAACACTAGTCCTAAAATTCAACAGTTTTAACTAATGCTCGATATTTTTCTACTCAAAAATATTACGTACGTACGCATATGTGACTTGTTGATGAATACGTTTAATTAAAAAATTGAAATGAAGATGAAAATCATAAGATTAAATATTTTTAAAAAATTATTCATTGAATTTTATAACCAAGTGTTTGTTGTTGGCCAAAAAATTGACAATATTTTTAGTAATAGTCTTCACATACTTGTAACCAGTTTAGAAACACAGTTGTCACAAAGTGTAACTAAAAATGTACGGATTTTTTCACTGAAATATAAACTACATTCTGTTTGTTACGGAATATAAGGAATATATGTATATTATATATATATATATATATATATATATATATATATACAAAGGAATCTAGAACTATCTGGTTTTGAATTTTTAGATTCAACGAAAATGAGATTACGATTAGATTGTTCTTAGTTGAAATTTAAGCCACATAAATATAATTAAATTAAAAGATGGATATCCAATGATAAGCATGAAGCACATGGAACAATAGAGTCAGCATCCAATTTTCCACATTTTAGAGAAATTTACATTCACAGTCGGTCAATAATGACTCGAGCCCCATTTTTTGAAAGCGATCACTTAGAAGAAGAAGAAACGCATCCAATATTAGAGGAAACAAGAAAGTCACAAAAAGGAAATTTCAAACATCACAATGTTTGTCGCTAAACAAAAAGTTGACTAACATTTAAAATGCTTCTGAAAAAAAAATTAAACGTGAACACACAAACAACTAATCGTTCTTAAAGAGAGAAAACACAATTAAAAGAATAAAAGGTAAAAAGTGTGGAATTAAAAACAAAATTAAAATTAACTAAACAGAATGGTATATAATTTCTTTTTTTTTAATTTCTAGGTGTGAGAAAATAAGAATTAAGGGATAAAAACCATTTTGGAATTGGTTAATCTGTGCTTCAAAAAGAAAGCGCTTACGGGTTAATTAAAATGTATATGTAATGAGAAAATTTAAATTTACTACATCACAGAGATTTTAAGGAAGGGAAAGTTAAAAGATGAAGGGAGTAGTTGGTTAATATTAAAACAATAAAAAAATCTACGATTATAATAAAAAGCATAGAATAGCAATTAGATTTTTGTAAAAATTAATTTACTAGAAAGAAAAACAGTTATCAATTTGATGTGTTTTTCAAGATGTTTGATGTAGTTTAGTGCAGATTCCGCAATGACGATGAACATATCACAAGTCTCTTGATCAGGAATCTGAGTCACAGAGATTATAAGTGGTGACGAAATATTAGTATCTACACAAAATTAGGTAGGAGAGGTAACAAATAGTAAGAGTCCGTAAATAGTAAAATCATATATATCTTTTTTCAACTATTGTTACGGAAATAAAATGTTATTTCTAAAATCCAG